GGTTTTTAGGGGTCTATAGGGTTTAGGGGTTTAGGGTTTAGGGTTTGGGGTTTAGGGTTTAGGGTTTAAAGGTTTAGCGTTTTTTAGGGTTTTTTTGGTGGTTTAGGGGTTTAGGGGTTTAGGGTTTCGGGGTTTATGGGTTTAGGGTTTAGGGGTTTTAGGGGTTTAAGGGTTTAGGGTTGAGGGTTGAGGGTTTAGGGTAGGGAGTGCTAAAAGAGTTTAGGCTTCTTGGCAAGCTGAGGTTTTAGGGTCCTGTAGGGTTTTCAGGGTGTGTAGTTGGTTTGTGTTGAATGGGTTTAAAGTTGCATAGGGCTTCACTTATGTTTTAGGGTCGGGTTTGTTGAGTTTCAGGGTATGGATTTTTACCGGTTTTAGGTCTTACGAGTCATGAGGCTTAGTGCACATCAAGCTAAACCCCAAACCCCAGACAGTGTTGGGAGTCCTTTTGGGCCCAGTCTGCCGAATGTAGTGAAGACGGGACGGCGTGCAAAACTGCTTTATTTGGGTTCGTAATTAGGGTTTCGGGTTGCGCGGCCAGGCGGGCTGTCACGTCTGCGGGTGGGCACGCGCTGTTGCAAGGCCTGACGCTTTTGTTGCAGACCATTCCCAAGGACATCGATGCCGCCGTGCTTTCTCTCTCGGCAAGTGACCACCACACGTACTTCGCGGCACGAGTAATTATATAAGGAACCCTAAGCCCCCAGTTACCTACTATATAGGGCCTTAGGGGCTCTAGTACCCTATATAGTAGGTACCTGGGGGGTTAGGGGAAGCCATAAAGCTTTTTGGATGTGCATTCCGAGGATGTATTTGTCGACAAGTCAATAAGTCTATGACCGAACGAACCACGGGAAAAGACTTTGCACAGACTATCAGGGTAGCTGCTTTACCACAGCGGCCTGAGCAATCGGACCAGCATGATCAGCCGGTTTTTGGATTGAAACAGCATACACTATGATTGTAGGCCCTATAGGCCCCCAACCCCGAACCTTAATAGAGATTAAACGTTTCAGATTTAGGGTTCTAGGCTATATAAGATTTAGGAGGGTTTTAGCCGATTGTAACTGTAAGCTCCTGTCCCTAAACCCTAAATCCTAAAGCCCTAAACCCTAAACCCTAAACTCCTTAACCCCTAAACCCTAAGGCCCCTAAACCCTAAAACCCTAACCCTAAACCCTAAACAGGTATGCGGTTGCAGCAAGTGGGCGCCTGGTGCGGTTCGGTGCTCGGAGGTCGAGTGCTCGGGACATCCCAGAGCTGCCTCCCGTGGCTCGGCTTTCTTCTGGTTGGCTCTTAGGACTTTGACTTTTTGGGTTTCTATATGAACTATAACAAGGGAGCTAAAAGTTAAACTTTTAGCAGGGGTTCAGAAGTCAGCCAAGGTGGTGGCCGTGTCAACTGGAAGTCGCCACAGCTGTGCCATCCAGGACCCTGACGGGTTATTCATGGCTGAAGCTTCTCTTTGAGGGTTTAGGGTTATAGGGTTTTAGGGTTTAGGGCTTTAGGATTTAAGGTTTAGGGGTTTAGGGTTTAGGCTTTAGGGTTTAGGGTTTAGGGTTTAGGGGTTTAGGGGTTTAGGGTTTTAGGGTTTAGGGTCTAAAGATCCTAAAACCCTAAACCCTAAAACATCCTAAAACCCGAGACCCTTCATCCAGATCAAACCTTTATAAATCTTCGATCCGGAATCTCCCTCAAATCCGAAATCCCCCCGCACCCCCAACCCACGAATCATAATGTAGAGGATGACGGACAACTCTGGTGCTTCGGCTGGAACAAAGATGGGCAGTGCGATGTCCCAGAAGATTTAGGCCCTGTAACTGCAGTTGCGACTGGCGACTCGCACACGTGCGCCGTAACACTGGTCGGCGAGCTAGTTTGCTTTGGCTCTCGGCGGTTTTCTCAAGTCCCTGAAGATGCCGGGCCGGTCGTATCTGGGCTTTGGACTACCATACTTTAATACTTTCTTGTGGGACCTGTTCCTTAAAGGAGCCATTATGAAACAAAAGTCTATACAAAAGTCTATACTTTTTTCTGCCTGGTTACTTCAAAGCCCAGGTAGATGTCTCTGCGGGTGCGAAGCACACGTGTGCAATCCGGCGAGATGGGAGTTTCTTCTGCTTTGGGACACATGGTGGCCACATTCCGATACTGGGCTTTAGAGTACCATACTTTAATACTTTTTTGGGGGACCTGTTCCTTAAAGGAACCATTATGAAATAAAAGTCTATACTTTTTTTCTCCCTGGTTACTTCAAAGCCCAGGATACCGCCAGGTTTGGATCTCATCCTCGCCGTTTCAACTGGGCATGACTACACCTGTGCTGTAGGAACCGATGGTTCTCTGCTTTGCTTTGGGAAGAATGAGTACGGCCAGTGCAATATCCCCGACGATCCTGGGCCATTTGTGGATGTCGCTGCCGGTACAAGCCATACGTGTGCAATTCGTGCAGATGGCCAGCTTATCTGCTTTGGACGGAATGATGAAGGACAGCGCGACGTTCCCGACGACTTAGGCGCCGTCGTGGCCGTTGTGGTGGGTCTTGCGCATACTTGCGCGGTGACGGTCGATGGCTGCATCTCCTGCTTCGGGTCCAACAAGTGGACACAGTGTGACGTCCCTTTGATGCTCAATCCCCGAAAAAAGCATCTTCCAGTCATACAGTTTGACAATTTGAACCTAGTTTAACAAAGTTTCATTGTCAAGTCGATTAGCCTGAGCTCTGACCGTATCAACATCGCAGATGCACATGCGATGCATATACACATACTGCCGCGGCGCATGTGTCTTGGGGTCCCTTATCGCTGCCGCGAGGGTCCTGAACCGACAACAATTGTCCAAAGCACGCTATTTGTTCGCATAAGAAGGAAACATCCCTGAACTCGAAACCTAAAGCTCTTGATTAATAAGACAAGGATGAATCCCTAAACCCTAAATCCCTAAACCCCCCTAAACCCCAAACGAGGGAAGTTGTCAAAGGAAACACCTCTAAGCCCCTAAACCCCCTAACCCTAAACCCCGAACCCCCAAACCCTAAACCCTACACCCCAAGCCCAAACTGTAGGCTTTGAACCATTAATTCCTGAGCCAATTGAAAAAGACCCTAATTTTAATTAAAAAAACCGTGCATCCCTTCGCTCTTCATTCCTTTACGTTTTATTGAATTAAAATTAGGTCTTTAGAGCTGGCGCGTTAGGCTGGTCCTCGCCTTCGGCCGACAATCTCCAGGTCCGGACGAGTGGTTTGGGGTTTAGAGGTTTAGGGGCTGGGGCTGAGGTTTAGGGTTTAGGGTTTAGGGTTTAGGGTTTAGGGTTTAGGGTTTAGGTTTAGGTTTAAGGTTGAGGGTTTAGAGGTTTAGGGTGCGGAGGTTTAGGGCTTAGGACTTCAGGGGCTTCAACAAGGGGTGCCATGGGCTTTAAGACGGTGCTTGAGGGATTGCACGTTTTTTAAGAGATGTCTCATGGGTTTTAATTGGGATGTGATGGGTTTAGGAGTCCTTCTTCATCAGGGACAAAAAAGGCTAAGTTAATTTCAGAAGGTTTCTTCGGGGTGTTACTTGGGACTTTGATCCGTGGATTTGTGGGGGTTGCGAGGTTTTGCTATGATAGGGGTCTTACTAATTACCTATACTACTTTGGGGTTCGTTATTATCGTTCTACTTATTAAGGCCTCTACAGTAGGGGCTTAGGGAGTTCAATGAGGGGCTCCAGCCCTGCAGCAAGGGGTTTTGAACAGGGTCTGCAGGATGTGGATTTAAGGTTTAAGGTTTAGGATTGAGGGTTTAAGGCTTAGGGTTCAAGGTTTACGGTTTAGGGTTTGGGGGTGGTCTGTCTTTACAATGTTGGAGTGTATAGTAATTTGCCTGATACCGGAGCCTATGCCTCCAGCACCCCAAAGTCGCTCGGTAAGCCTAGAGGACTCTAAACCTCACCCATGGCCTAGTAGTCTTCTCATCCGACAAGAAAAGGCGGAAACAAGAAAGGACTCCATGGTCTAGATCCACCGAGACACCTGGCATCAAGCCCTAAACTCTATGTAGGGTTTTGGGTTTTGGGTTCATAAATCCTTCAAGTGCCCTCCAAGCCATCGCCAGGATGCTTGCTGTGTCTTGGAGGGCAGCAACGACGGCTTCCAGCAGGAGTCACAGGGAGAGGTTCTGAACCGGGAGAGACTAAGAGACCCCCTAAAACCCTTTAATTAAGGGCTTAGGGTTTACCTATAGCAATAGTTTCCATTGTAGTTCCTTTTTTGGTTTAGCCAAATATATATTAAGGATTCTATAAGGTATCCGCAAAAAGGAACTACCACGGAGACTGTAGGTAGGGTTTAGGGTAGTAAGGAATATACCTTAAATTCGAATGGGAGCCCGAATAATATTTAAGGTATATACCATATATTCCTTACTCATAATTATAAGGGGTATTGTTGTCTCTGGCGACGTTTCCGTTCCCAGTTCAAGACTTCGTCGAAACCGCAACTTGATAACAGCACCCTTTGAATGTATGGTGTTTGGTAGAAGGTTTAGATATACCCAAACCTAAGCACAAAACCCAAGCCTTAAACCCAAATCCTGGTGAGGCTTTGCTGGGAGGGCCCCCCTCGGCATCACTAGGCTCTGGATTCGATGATCAACCTCCGCAACTAGGGTTCAGGCTTTGGGGGCAAAGGTGCCAGAGCCTAGTATAGCTGCTTTCACTATCAGAACACTATTCCTGCCAGGCTTCCGGATTCTACTCACTGCATAGTTTCAGTTTCAAGTTTTGCTGAACCCTAAACCCCAAAACTACCCTCCAATATTTCCGTAAATTCCCACCATAAAGGGCCACAAGGGCTCTATTAAAGGGTACTTGCGGGGTTCTTGGAAACTAATCCCTAAACCCTAAACCCGGCGGTCCTGCCCTCCTGGCTCGTAAGGTTCCCAATGCCGTCTACAGGGTTTAGGGTTTAGGGTTTAGGGTTCAGGGTTTAGGGTTTAGGGTTTAGACGCTGAACCCGAAGCCAGGATCCCCGACCCTAAACCCTACACTCTCTGAACTACCTGTACCCTATCCCGTTTTCAGGGCACCTACCTTTGTATATAACAGATCCTAACCATAAAAGAGGGTGTCCTGAAAAAGGGGTTTAGGGTATGACCCTCTAGGTAGAGTCCCTGCCACACCCTGAAGTTTCGGCTGGCCCGCAGGAAGAAGGGAGTGTTGACCCCAAGTGTTACACCCTAACCCCTAAACCCTAAACGCTACACTTCGGACAAATTTCGAGTCTGTCAGCTGGGCCGGGAAGGCTACTTGGAGATTTTGAGGCTGTGGGCGATTGGGTTTAGGGGGTTTCAGGTTTTTTGGGCTCTGGGGTTTAGGGCTTTGGGGTGTTGGGGGTTTAGGGTTTAGGGTTTAGGGTTTAGGGTTTAGGGTTTTAGGGGGTTTGGGCCTTAGGAGCTTACACCCCGCTCTTTAGGTTCATCCTTCAGCTTCCTCAGGTCCATGCTTGATCCTAAACCCTAAACCCTCAACC